GATTTTATTTATTCGAGAGAGAGAGAATGAGTGAGAGAGAGCGCACACATGAGAGAGGGGAGGGTCAGAGGGAGAAGCAGACTCCCCGCTCAGCAGGGAGCCTGATGTGGGACTCGATCCCAGGACTCCAGGATCATGACCTGAGCCGAAGGCAGTCGCTTAACCAACTGAGCCACCCAGGCGTCCCTAAATGCTAAAGGTTTTAATTGTTGATTTTGACCCACAAAGGATTTTTTAGTTTGGTTTTTTACTTGTTCTTTATTATTTTTTTTTAAGATTGTCAAGACCCATTAGTTGCTTCCTGTTTTATATCAATGCTATCATTGCTATGTATTCATCTACATTTTCTTTCTGGTTTAATTTTTATAATTCTCATGCTAATTTAATATCCAAATGCTTCATTCTAAAACCTCAAAATTTACAAAAGTAAAGGGAATAGTTTAGTGAACTCCCATATGCCTATCACCCAGCTTCAAATTATCAACTCATGCCTGATCTTATTTCATCTTTATCCTGACCAACTCCTTCCTTCAATTATTTTGAGGCAAATCTCAGACATACCACTTTATGTATCTTTAAAAGTAAAGACTTTAAAGATTTTATAATAAAAATTTTTTTACATTTAACATTTAATCAATTTCAAGTTTATTTTACTGTTTAGTGCTTTTCAGAGATTTAATCTTATTTCACTTTTCAAACTAGTTAGCTAGGTGTCCCAATACCATTTATCAAATCATTCATTCTTTTGTCCGCTGGTAAGAAGTGCTACCTTAATCATATATTAAAATCTCATGTACTCGAATCTGGTTTTGGACCCTCTGTCCCACTGATCTTTTTCTCCTTCATCATGATATTTTGGTTTTTATTTGATGTGACTTCATGTACATGAAAGTAGGATTAAATTTTTGTTATTAATCTAACAGAAAAACAAAAACTAGGAGATTAAGAATATTTACTTAGTTAAATAACATGTTTATAATAACATTTATTCTCTTTCAGAGATCCTTTAATGTGGAGAGTTGTGATTGGAACTAATAGTATAAAAGGGCATCATCCACACTCCAAGAAGATGAAAGTTAAAGCAATCATTATCCATCCAGACTTCAATTTGGAAACTTATGTAAATGATATTGCACTATTTCATTTAAAAAAAGCAGTGAGGTATACTGACTATATTCAGCCTATTTGTCTGCCTTTTGATGTTTTCCAAAAACTGGACCAAAACACAAAGTGTTTTATAAGCGGCTGGGGAAGAACAGAAGAAGGAGGTAATTATAGTTTGAATTTTATTTATACATTTTTCCTGATTATTGGAGAGGGTGTACCCTTTTATATATTCATCTCTTTATATCATGAATTTGAGCAATAGGTCTTTACAAACCATTGAAAAAGAAATGTTTTTTCTTGTATTTTTTCTTCCTTGTAGGAAAGAGAAAATTATCAAAAAAAGAAAGAAAGAAAGAGAAAATTATCTTCCAAAGCAGAAATAGAGACTTTCTCTGGTTATGCATGCTAAGAGACTTGAACCTCTAAACATTTTCAGAGAGAATGATGATTCTAAGTGTTTTTGTAGTTTCTGAGATTCATAGGTGATAGAGCCAGCTCTGTGGAGGACTGCTTATCATAAATAAGCTTCTAGCTGTAAGGAATCAAATTTAGTGTCCTTTTAATTTAATACCCTGTTTAACATCAAACAGGTTGAGTGCCATATATTTTCTTTAGTTGTACAAATGAGCACTAATTATTGATTGGTTGAACTATTATGAACTATCAACAAATAAATGTAGAAAATAGTCTCTGCCTTTGGTTCTAAAAATAGTTACCATTTGGGAGCATTTACCATGTTTTAGATCCTTTTCTAAATATACTATTTTATCTTATCTTCAAAATATTCCTACTAGGAAGTTTATGTCATTATTCCTATTCAACAGACCAGGAATTGTGGATCTTAGAAGTTGAGAAGCTAGAACACAAATCTAGGTCTTCTTTATTTCTACAGCCTGAATGTCTAAGTACTGCATTAAGTACAAACTGTTCTTGATGGAATCAAAGTCTAGTGAGATCAAGTGCTGAGACTCTTTTTTCTATTCCTTACAGAAATTAGCCATTTAAATATGTGTAGAGGGGTGCCTGGGTGGCTCAGTTGATTGGGCATCCAACTCTTGATTTTGGTTCAGGTCATGATCTCAGGGTCCTGGGATGGAGCCCCGCATCAGTCTCCCCACTGGGATTCTCTCTCTCTCTCTTCCCCGCCCCCCGACTCTCCCCCTCCTCTCTCTAGGATGGATGAACAAATCTTTGAAAAAAAAAATGTTTAGATTAGGGGCACTTGGCTGGCTCAGTCCGAAGAGCATGCAACTCTTGATCGTGGAGTTGTGAAATTCGAGACCCACGTTGGGTGTAGAGATTACATACATACATACATACATACATACATACACTTTTAAAAACAAATAAGTGTAGATTATTTAGATATGATACAGATAAATGTATGAAAGATCTGTGAATTATTACTTTTCTTTTTTTCCTCTGTGAATACCATTTAAACAAGTTAAGAAAGCAACATGTGTAGGGAAAAGAGTATGGGCTTTAGAATCACAGACCTAAGTCTGAATCTCAGCCCTGCAACGTACTTAACTGCACTTAACGACTGAGCCACCCAGGCACCCCAAGTTATTGACTCTTTAACAACAATTAGGACAACAATGATCAGAGTAGCTTCCATTTATTCAGGGCTAGGTACTTAATAAAATACTAAGCACCTTAATGAATTTCTCATTTAATGCCCCCAGTAACACTATGAGAAGTACTATGACATGGATAAATAAACAGATTTAAAGAGGTTAAGTGAGGGACGCCTAGGTGGGTCAGTTGGTTAAGCATCTGCCTTCAGCTCAGGTCATGATCGCAGGGTCCTGGAATTAAGTCCCGCATCGGGCTCCTTGCTCAGCAAGTAAATAAAATCTCCTTGCTCTGACAAGTAAATAAAATCTTTAAAAATAAATAAATAAAATAAAGAGGTTAAGTAAGCTACCCTAAATTACACAGCTAAGTGAGGGGTAAAAATTCAATCCCAGGCTGGCCTGCCTCAAACTCATGTTTCCACTATATCATATCATCTTTCACACTGTCATACATTTTCATGATCTGTAAGATGAGAGCAGTAATACCTGTCAGAGAGCTGTTTATTTTTTTTTTAAAGATTTTATTTATTTATTTGACAGAGAGAGACACAGCGAAAGAGGGAACATAAGTAGGGGAAGTGGGAGAGGGAGAAGCACGCTTCCCGCTGAGCAAGGAGCCTGATGCGGGGCTCGATCCCAGGACCCTGAGATCATGACCTGAGCCGAAGGCAGACGCTTACCGGCTGAACCACCCAGGTGCCCCTGTCAGAGAGCTGTTTTAAGGATTAAGTTGCCTCTCCAGCAACATGGTAGATTACATGCACACACCAACCTTCCCAGTGAATACTATTTTTAAAAATTTTTTTTAAAGATTTTTTTTTTATTTGTCAGAGAGAGTACAAGCAGGGGGAGCAGCAGGCAGAGGGAGAAGCAGGCTCCCCGCTGAGCAGGGAGCCCAACGCAGGACTCAATCCCAAGACCCTGGGATCATGACCTGAGCCGAAGGCAGACGCTTAACTGACTGAGCCACCCAGGCGCCCCCCAGGGAAAACTATTAAGAGAGAAAATACACAGGTCAAGGACTGAGTGTGAAGATGGGAACTTAAGTAACTGAAGCACTGAAGTTGGCTTTTATCTTGAGGGTATTTGCCAGTGGTAACATTGCATATGAATTTCTGTGGTCTCATGGGCCTTGAGAGGGTTGAAGAACAAAGCCTGCTAAAGTGTGTGGGTGGAGATTCTCATAAAGCTGGAGCCAGAGAGCTATACTCCCACCATATAGTTCATCTATACGTAGTTCACTTTAACTATGATATAGGCAGGTTGAAAATAAAAGGATGGGAAAAATATATCATGGCAACATTCATCAAAAGACAACTGGAATAGAAAAAAAGAAAAGAAAGCAGGAATGGCTACATTAATATCAGATAAAGTAGATTTAAGAGCAAATAAAACTATTAGGGACAGTGAGGAACGTAACAATGATATAAAGGTAAATCCAGGGCGCCTGGGTGGCTCAGTTGGTTAAGCGACTGCCTTCGGCTCAGGTCATGATCCTGGAGTCCCGGGACTGAATCCCGCATCGGGCTCCCTGCTGAGCAGGGAGTCTGCTTCTCCCTCTGACCCTCCCCTCTCTTGTGTTCTCTCTCTCAAATTAATAAATAAAATCTTAAAAAAAAAAGGGTAAATCCACAGGAGACATAGCAATCCTAAATGTGTATGTACCAAACATCAGAGATAGTTTTTCTTTTTCTTTTCTTTCTTTCTTTCCTTTCCCTCTTTCTCTTTCCTTTTCTTTCTTTCTTTCTCTCTTTCTTTCGATTTATTTTAGAGAGAGATTGCACACACGTGAGTGGGGGTGGGGCAGAGGGGGAGAGAGAGAGAATCCCAAGCAGACTTTGCGCTGAGCTCTGAGCCTGACACAGGACTCAGTCCCAGGACCCTGAGATTATGACCTGAGCTGAAACCAAGAGTTGGACGCTTAACCAACAACTGTGCCACCCAGGCGCCTCCAGAGATATAGTTTCTTAAAAACACACACGTGTACATACATTTATAATATTACCCAGCAATCGCACTCCTGGGCATTTATCCTAGAGAAATGAAAACATATTTCCACACAAAAACCTGTTCACGAATATTCATAAAAGCTTTATTTATAGTATCCAAAAACTGGGAAAAACTAAATGTCCTTAATTAGGTGAATGATTAAACAAACTGTAGTATATCCTTAATCTGGAATGATACTAAACAGTTAACAGGAATTAGCTATTGATACATGTATCAACTTAGATGGCATTATGCTGGGTGGAAAAAAAAAAGCCATTTTCAAAAGACACATACTGTATGATTCCATTTATATACCACTCTCAAAATGACAAAATTATAGAGATGGAGAACTAATTACTGGTTGGTAGGTGTAAAAAAGTTAGGTAGCCTGAGGGAGATCTTTGTCATGGTGAAATAGTTCCATATCTTAATTGTGGAGGTAATTATAAGAATGTACACATACAATAAAGTGGCACAGAACTACACAAACACACATTGTACCAGTGTCAGTTTCTTGATTTTGATATTGTACTTCAATTACACAGATGTTACCATTGCAGGAAACAGGATAAAGAGTACACTGGACCTCACTGTACTACCTTTGCAACTTCCTGTGACTATAATTATTTTGAAATAAAGTTTATTTTTTTAAAAAGAACAAGATATAACTAAAGCATCCTCAACCCCCACCCCCCCCCAGGATTTCTAGGAAAACTACTGAATTGAAGGGGGAAAAGGTAGAAATTTTCCCAGAAAACATATAATTACAAATACCACTCATATGGACTTGCTGCCCCAAATTGCTCTGAATAGACAGACTCAAACTTAGGATTTAGTTTAAATAGGTCATAGACTGTTAAGGTCTCTACGTGGCTGAGAGAATCAAATGCACATCATTTGTATAGAAACTGAATTTCATCTAAGACCTCAAAAGAATTTCACCTGATAAAGTTTCAATGAAAATGGGTTATAATTTTTTTTAAAAGATTTTATTTTATTTATTTGAGAGAGTGATAGCACAAGAGAGGGGGTAGGGTCAGAGGGAGAGGCAGACTCCCCGCTGAGCAGGGAGCCCAATGCAGGACTTGATCCTGGGACTGTGGGATCATGACCTGAGCCGAAGGCAGTTGCTTAACCAACTGAGCCACCCAGGTGCCCTGGATTATAATTTTAAAAATCACTAAACACCAAAGCAAATAAGGCATTATGAGTAAGAGTCAGCGGAAACAACAGACATCAAAATAAAACCTGCAAAAATTTCAGATATTGGGATCAAAAATAAAAAGATGTTTAATATATTACAAGAAATAAGGGCGCCTGGGTGGCTCAGTTGGTTAAGCGACTGCCTTCGACTCAGGTCATGATCCTGGAGTCCCGGGATCGAGTCCTGCATCGGGCTCCCTGCTCGGCAGGGAGTCTGCTTCTCCCTCTGACCCTCCTTCCTCTCATGCTCTCTGTCTCTCATTCTCTCTCTCTCAAATAAATAAATAAAATCTTAAAAAAAAAAAAGAAATAAAAGATGTGCTTAAAAATATGAATAAAAAGCTATGAAAAAGAACCAACGATAATAATTTAAAAATATAATAATTGAGGGA